TAGGCATGTGTATAATTACTTTCTATCCTTTAGGTATATACACAAAATTTTTTGTTTCAATGATAAGTTTGCAATTACTTTAAAATCGGTAAGTAGAGATAAAAATTTCCCGTAACCAAAAAACAAAGAAATTCAAGTCCAGCTCTCACAAAACAATTAATAGCAAAACAGTGAGAGAAAGAACATGGAAGCACATAAACAAAATCCAATAATCATGGACAGAGCTCTCACTTTTGTGAAGATTCAGAAATGGTATCAGAGTAAAATTCTATCTTCCGTGTCAACTCCCAACATAAAATAAGGTATAAAAATTAGGAAACTACTGCAGTCCCGTTGACGGAATGGTTCCATCAATGTTGGTTACCGTAGATTATCAACACAAGATAATTTTTATGTGTATCCAATGTGTAAAATACTGACGGTACTATCCCGTAACGGGACCTTAGAATTTTCCTAAAAATTAACACTAAACATTTACATGAGCCACCCTGGCATAGATAATGTGATATAGTTATACTAACTTATTTCTTATCAAAAATAGTAAGTTATATTGTAATTCGTATCATTTTTTGGACATTACTCATAAAAAACAGTACGTTATACTGCAACGTGTATCATTTTTAAGATATATTAATCCAAAAAAAATAATAAACCATTTTCGGGATAATGTTTCAATAGTGATATAAATTGCAACATAACGTACTATTATTTACTATAGAAAAGATAGTACACCAAAAAAGGATTTCAAGCAAGTAAAAGGACCAAAATTAAATTTATGCCGATTATTCGTATTCTTACATTGTTAATGTATTATTATTAGTTGATGCTTCGGTTCAAATAAAAGTTACAAACATTTTTTCGTTTTTTTAGTATTTGCAAAATCTGCAGAAAATACAAAATACAAATTAAAAAAAAAAAAAGAGTCATAAATGCTAAGGAACTAACATATGAGCCAGAAGAGTGGGAGTTAGAGAATCAGCCAAATGAGTTAACAAAGAAGTTGTCTGCTTTTACCCACTGCTTTCATATCCATAGACTCAGCTTCTTAACTGTACATATTTATTGTAAGACAGACAGACACACACTCACATCACATACACACTACTCCCTTATGATATACATATATAAGCCAACATGCAAACACCCTTTTACCTACTGAAGTTACAACTTGAGATTTCAATCATGAGTAGTCTTTTTGGGATTGGAAGCAGGAAATTCTCATTTTCTATCTTACTTTTACTTCATGATGTTTTTGTTTGTTTCGCCGTATATTTGAGTTTGGTTTACGAATACTGTTCTATGATTGCAGAAGCCAGAAAACGTTTCGTGCGAAAAAGGGCTCTCCTTCGGGAAGCAAGGTCTGTCGTTTATCAGCTTCTGATATGTTGTGGAGTTGTGCATGTTGATTTCTCTTCCTCTTACTTAATACACAAAATATTTTCCAAAAGAATCGAAAAATATAAGTTCGAAAAAATATGCAGGTGTTCTTATTTCTTGCATGCAGCCAACGAAAATAACGATTAATTATTTCGCCTTTTGGAAAATTAAGTCGGTTATTGAGTTGTTCAATTTATGCATGCATTTCCTTTTAATTTAAATATGTTGAGATTCTTTTTAACTCAAACAGGGGTTGCAACTAAAGAGGCACATTGATGCGACGTTGGGTAGCGGCAACTTGAGGGAAGCCGTGAAGCTTCCACCTGGAGAAGATCTTAACGAGTGGTTGGCCGTTAACAGTAAGATTTCTACCCTTTTTAAGTGAACTTTTTTGTTTGTACAGTTTCTCATTGATATATATGTCTGCTTCATTTCAAAACGCCATCGATAATGGTTCTTTATGTTTCTTCGACTGTGACATGCTAATCACTGTGATGTGAGAGGCCAATCAATTATCCTTTTGCTCCATCTTAAATTGGCAAGCGTTTAACAAGATAAAGTTTCTATGTCGTTGAGTGGATTTCGAAGTAAAAATCAAAATTAGTTAAAAAAAACACCGATTGCGGTAATATTTTCCATTGTTGTTAGTCACCATATATCTGCTTTTGTCTGTTTTCATTCTGTATGCAAAGTGATCAATCATTGTTGTGTTTGATGTCATGTTTGTAGTACTTCATGTGCAATCATTGTTGTGTTTTTGTTTCAACATTAACGTAATGGACAATAACTCGTGCATCCGTATATACCTTTCGAGTATGCTCGTTATTAAATATTTTGCATTTGTTGCGCACTTCATGTGGATGTCGGTTTTCTGGATCAAGGAAAACATTCTTTACGACACTAGCCTCATTCAATTTTTGCGAACGAGTAATTTAATTAATAAAACGACAAAATATGTCGCAAAAATTTGTCGTAATTGACAAAGTACATCTGTTGTCTAACTTTAATGCAGCTGTCGACTTTTTCAATCAAGCAAACATACTCTATGCGACAATCACAGAATTCTGCACGCCGGCTACTTGTCCAAAAATGTCTGCCGGATCGAAGTACGTTCTTTTATTATTATTATTATGTTTTTTGTTATGTTTCCTTTCATATATATCAGTAATCTTGTTAGATTCTCTTTTTAACTATCATATCCATACATACTTAATCTGCCATAATTGCCCTTATGAAGGTATGAGTACAGATGGGCTGATGGAGTCACCATAAAGAAACCAATAGTTGTTTCTGCTCCAAAATATGTTGAATACTTAATGAACTGGATTGAGGCTCAGCTCGATAATGAGACCATTTTCCCACAGAAGTTGGGTATGTGGTGGAATTTTTGTGTTCATTGAAAATCATTTAACTAAATTTAAAATAACAATGATGATATATGTGATTTGATGCAGGAGTACCTTTTCCACCAAACTTTCAAGATGTGGTGAAAACCATTCTGAGGCGTTTGTTTCGAGTGTATGCGCACATTTACCACTCCCATTTCCAGAAGGTCTTGAGCCTCAAAGAAGAGCCTCATCTCAACACTTGCTTCAAGCATTTCGTTCTCTTCACTTGGGTGGGTAAACTATATATATATCTTTATTCTCATCCGAACGTTATATTTTTGTAATCTTTACGAACACAAATTAAAAAATGTAAAATGTGCAGGAATTTGGGTTGATCGACAAGGCTGAACTTGCAGCTCTGCAGGAAATCGTTGAGCCTATCGTGCAAGGGTAGAAAACCTGAGCCATGGTACCATCGAGTGTATGTGCCTTTCTTTCATCGCGCTTGCAGTTAGCCCATGTCGACTAAGACTGGTTTACCTATTGATGAGGCATATATAACATTAGGAAAATTCTATATTATTCATTTTGAATTGTAATGAATTTGTTTTTCAGCACTGCTATTTCTTCTGTTTATTTCTGAAACCAGTAACTATTTTAACTACATTCAGTTTGTTTGACTGGAATCGCCTATCTCCTGATATGTTGGCTTTTGTGCTTTCTTTAATTAGTTTTCGTATATTGTTCTTGAATCGGGTTGTACCGGCACCACTGCGAAAGGCCTTCTGTCTCGAGTTCTGATGACTTGCAATACGCTAGGTTGCAGGGGAGGGATCCAAGCCGAAAAAAACTCAGACGGTCAAGTCAATACTCGGTGAGAATAACATGAAGTACATTGTATACATAAAGATGCATTGTGTGTAAAGTAAAGCAATATCACCCTTTATGTTCTAGGGTGTCTTGTTGCCCGCGTAGAGTCCTAACTAGAAAAGAGATCTAACCATATCCAACTTCCTAGCTTATCACGTCTCTAGAGTCTCAGACTTTTTACCGAGATACACTTTTCATCATTAAAGGATTTTGTCCCTCTTACCATATAACGCTTAGGTCCTTAGGTCGTCTGAACCATCTCGCAACCTACGAACTATAACCACCTTGCAACAGACAATAACCAGGTCACAACCACTACCTCCACATTTACGACCCCCAAGTGATAAGGTCCCCTTGTCTATTCGAGCTACTGAAGGAGCCCGGCCTCCAAGCCCTCTACTCAGGTTGACTAGTGCCCTGAGTTGCATACACGAGCTCCTAACGAGGTTGAGCATTGAAAATGACCTAAAGCTTCTTTGGACCCACTGTACCCGAGCTAACCACTGATGTCAGCTCACAGAGCTATTCTAGGTTCTACATCATCTACCCCCACTCTTGAACGAGCTACCAGGACTTATGCAATAATGATTCATTGCACCCAACTTGTCCTTAAATGCCATTAATTAGTCGACCTTGATTCTGTTTGTTTTTTCTTCTTACTGTGAAGGTACACTACTAGCATTACTATGCTCGAAAATCTTTACTCACTTTGGCCTCGGAAGTACTTAGCCACCTAATTGCTTAGGTATTCGAGCTACTTGCTCGGGATCCTTGCCTTATATCACTTTGGCCCCTGAGCTACCTACTTCGCGCTATTGCCACTTGAGAAATAAAACATTTAGATACTTCATAGGCTTGAGGCCCTCGCGCTACCTGCTCGAAGTTATGCCTCCTCACTTGGCCCTAGAGCTAACCACTCAACGTTCTGCTACTTTAATAAATATTCGATCCCCGATCTAACCACCTGAGGTTCTGCCACTTGTCCTTGATCCCCCGAGCTTATTTTTTTCGGGGTTCTGCCCCTTGACCTCTAGGACCTTGAGCTCATCTACTTGGGTTTCTGCCCAATTAAAGATACTTAGCCCCATTTAACATTAAACCCCGAGCTCATCTGCCTGAGGTTTTTCCCTTTAAATAAGTACTTGAATTTAAACTTGCACCAAACTTGGTAAAAATAAATTGAACTTTAATCAGGCTAAACTTTCTTAACAAACTTGTATAATAAACTGAGTAACTAAATATGAGCTCCTTGCTTCGGGCTCCCACCTCTTTAAAAACACTTAGGGGATAAATTTTTATCAATAAAAAATCAATCATTTTTAACTCATCACTCCTTTTAACTCAAATATAACTCAACTTTAACTAAACTTCACTATCCTCAATATTATCAATATAATTAAATAGTATCAATTAATCATTCTTACACATTACATTTTAATTCACTGTTTATCCACTCACATAATTTTAAATAACCATTTCTTTCCTTTTTTACATCAATTCAACTTTAATTATTTTACACCAAACATTATTTTAATATAAATTCAAAATCCACTAACAACTAACTATATCATTTTTTTTCAAATTAACCATACCAAACTGTAAAATCCAAGCAAAGTCAAATTGTTTCATAACCGAGCATCCCCCTAACCACTTAATTACTTAAATGACCGAGAAACTAGGTCCGGCCTCCTCCCTCTTGCAAAATAATCGGTAGTCCTTCTCTTTTTAAACTTATGGCTCCGAGCTACCTGCTTATAGTTCTGGCTTTTAAAAATTTCTTGGCCCTCGAGGTTTTACCACTTTAATAAGTATATGGCCTTCTAGCTAACCACTCGAGGTTCTGCCACTTAGAACTTAGGAAATAAATCACTCTAATTCTGCCACATAAACCTTGGTCCCTAAAGCTCGATTTCTCGGGGTTCTTCCCGAGCTCTATATGGCCCTCGAGCTACCTACTCAGGATTATGCCACTTAAACCTTATGGTCACCAAGCTACTTAATCGGGGTCTGCCCATAAATTATGACCCTTGAGCCACCTGCTCAAGGTTCTACCATCCTTGACCTTATGTACCCCAAGCCATCTGCGTGGGGTTCTACCAACCTTAAACTTATAGATCCCGAGTCATCTGCTCAGGGTTCTGCCATCCTTGAACTTATGGCCCGAGCTATCTTTGCTCCCATTTTTGCACTTGTGGCTCCCGAGCTCGTCTTCTATGAGTTTTGTCTTGTGTGTCTTTAAATATTGAGCTTATAGCTTGGCGTTCACTAGTTATCATAGCACCACAATAGCGTTTTACAAACATATGCGAGCAATGGATATTTCTCCACAAAGCATAAATCCCAAATACTTATCATACCGGTTAAAACTTGATCATTGAAACGAGTTTGGATTAGCTTATGTACCTGGAGTTAAAAATATCACACTTGACCGTTTCACGTATATCATGAGGTTTGAAGCAACTCGGTTCTTCTTTGTGATATCTCATCGTAAAATATCTGATCCCAAAACTCTTCTTCGGGTCCTTCTGAGCTTTCTTTGAGAATAACTACAACGTGAATCTTTTTGTCAACCTTTCGCTCCCTCTCTACAAAAATAATAGAGAACCCTTCTCTGTATCAGGGTGCAAAACTTCTCTTCGGGTCCTCTCGACCTCTCATTGTAAAATATCGGGGCTTAAACTCCTCGTGTCCTTCCGATCTCTCGTCATAAAACATCGCAGCTCGAAGCAACTCATCGGGTCCTCCAGACCCCTCCACG